TATTTTCAATAGGTAAAACATTAAAATGAAACAAAGTATATGCAGCAGGTAAGACCTTACTGAAAGTATAGAACATGCAATGTCTATGGAGATTCTAAGTCATCCATGTCACGGTTGTTCCAAAGGCGCTTTTTCAAAAGGCAACTGGACTTTGTTTTTCCTTGAAGAACGAGGAATAGAGAACACTCTCTTAACGAAGTTAATGCATTGCCGGGAAATAAAAATTCAATAATTGGTTCACATATGTGGAAGATATTCCAGAAATAGGGGGATGCCAGAGAAAAAATCCTGGCGTTCATACAGCATCCAAATCTTCTATGTGGCACAGAGGCTCTGATGCTAATGGCAAAGCATGGCTGAATCATCTATACGCCTATACTTCATTTCTAAAAAACTGAAATGAAGTACTTCCCATTCAGGAAATTCTACATATTTCATCCTGTTCTGATGAAAACTAAACCTGTGTTAATTATTTGAACCTTTCCCTGAGAAACAATTCCATTTCCCCAAATCTCACTCTGTATCTAGCTAATTGGATTGGTTACTCAGATCAGTGATTTCCACTTTTAGCAATTGATAGATGAGTGGGATTTGGCACCTAGAATTGTCAGCAATGATCGTACTGGCCAGAGAATTACAAAAATTGAAGACAATATGGATGGAAAGTGTCAGTATCTAGATTAACACGGATTGAATCAGATTAAGTGGTCTCAGGAGGCCTTTTATAACCATTAAAGATAAGTGCTGTGGTTATGGCAAGACTTTTCCAAATATTTACCTGGTATAAAATCTATGTTTTAAATTTTGATTTTCTAAAAAAAAAGTAGCTTTATATTCTTTAAGAAGTGGCATTAGTCTGCAGTTATGATTATTATTACGACATTAGGCTTTCTTACTTATTTTGTTATATATTCTGATGTTCTCATGTTGCAAATTTAAAAATTACAACCGACCATGTCTAGTGTACCTGGAATACTGGTGAGAAGGGAGCTGGAAAACCAGGAGAGAAAGGGACTGTCCCTTGCTGTGTTGGTAGCAGGAAAAAACAACGCGAACATACAAAGAACAATTGATCTTTATTGCTTTGACACAGAAACTACAGAAGCTCCGTGAACAGCTAGAGCATTCAATTGCAGTGGACCAAAATGCCATAATTAACAGCAAAGCACTTGGTGGAATAAATAACAACCTTATTGTGTCACACCTCCAGAATGCTGTTAGAAACTTTATGCTAGAGCTGAATACTAATGTCTTTTGCCAAGCTTCCACTGAGATCAAGAACACAAGTATCACATTTCTGGGTATATCTGAGGTCAAGAAACAGAATACTGCCCCTTGAGGCTATCTGGTACTGTCAGCAAATTTCCCCTGTGTATGCTTAAAGCACATGGCTAAAGCAGATGCTCAAAGCTTAAAACACTTTTGCCTAAGAGATTATGTTAATGAAGTGTGGCAAACAGAGAGCCTTCATTTCCCACCTGCTGTAAAAGCAAATTTACTTAATCCTTTCATTACTTGTTGATGATTTATTAGTGGATCTTTAAAAGATATAAAAAAGAAGATAGATATATATACATAAAGTTTCCATGATAATTTCTAAGGAGAAAAACCTGTACCAACGTTGGAGTTTTTGTATGATGTGTGTCAATATTTTGTTCCTACAAAACAATCCTTTTGGGGATAAACACATTTTTTTCCCAAAGTTGCCTTGTATGGCATAAGAAACTCTGCATAAGAACAATCATTTGCTTAAACGGAAAATAAAGAATCAAGGGCAGTGATTCCCAAAGTTCATTTACAGGTTATCAGAGACTATAGAAGATTAACATTTGAATTCAGCGTTCTGTATCATAATGATTTTCCACAAGGAAAAAAGCTGCAGCATCAGACACAAGCTTTGTTTCTTTAAGATATTTGTAGTGTTTTTTCTTTGGATTGTCTAAACCCTGAAAAGCAGAAAACTGATGAGAAAATCCCTAACTGGATCTTTAATCGTTAGGCTTTCAACCTTTGGCTAACTTAACATTTGTTATTTCTTTGCCTTGAATGACAAACTTGATGTTTCTACATACATAAACAAACACAGGTGATTGATGGGAACAGCTCATTGTCTGTACATTCTTTCTAAGATTATTGATTCCCTTTTGCCCAACTAGTATGCCACACACATAAACAGCATTGTATTTCTAATAGCTTCTTCATTCCAATTTATGGAGTCATTACCAAATACATCTCAACCATTATAAAAATTATTCCATATTATGAGTCAACAACATAAGGCAATTAGAAAAAGAAATAGTAACCAGACGCCAGTAATGTTACAAAGATAACGGGATACTATGTGGGAAAGACTTTGATTGTGCCAAGACTTGCTGCCAAGGGAACAGGCAGATAAAAGACAGCTAGCCTCCAACTGGATAGTCCAGACATCTCCAAACTTGGCAACTTTAAGACTTGTGGACTTCAACTCCCAGAATTTTCCAGCCAGCTATGCTATGCTGGCTGGAGAATTCTGGGAGTTGAAGTCCACAAGTCTTAAAGTTGCCAAGTTTGGGGACCCCTGGGATAGTGGGTGAATCAAGAGGCTAGGAAGAGACCCTCCCTAGTTTCTCAGGTAGTAAAGAAGATGATGGGGGGCAGGATTATACTTTCAGACTTGCAAGATTATGACAATGTAGATATCAATGGTATCAGTCTCTGGGATAAACCAAGTCAGAATCACAACCAGATGAGCTACTTCTACTTTGTTGTAAAGCTACATTGACAGAATCTTGCAAGTCTGAAAGCATTGTACAATTCTATCCTATTCTTGGATATTGGCAAATCAGGATATCAAGGTATTAAGAAACTGGAATTTCCTGTTTCTTTTCTGCCGAGGAACATTTATTTTTACAGATGTGTCAAGCATATCAAACTTTTTTCTTTCTTTTTTTTTTTGCTTTTTCTCATCACCATTTTTCAAATTTTATCTCTGATTTTAAGTGGCATGATCCCGGGAGCTCCTTGGGCAAAAGAACAGAATCTTGGGTTCTGCATGTAGTACACAACTGACCAATCTCTGATCTAGTGAGGGAGCAATATAAATGAACTGGAAAGAAAGGGATCAAAGTTTAATTGTTAAAAAAAGTTACATACAGTATATACTTCTCCAGCAAGCATAGATGGCAACAGTAAAATAAGTTTTTTTTTTCTGGTTCTTAGGAAGAAGTGAAAATTCTACTTTGGTTATGAAAAAAAAATGGCTAAGAAATTCCCTAACCTTCTGCACTGTAAAGCAAACACCTATTTCAAGAGTTAAGGTAAGGTAAGGTAAAGACTCTCTTGAGTCTAACTTGTATCGCTGCCAAGAAATTAACAAGGAGACCATCAACTTTTTGTCACTAATTGCAGCAGATGCATGTCCTAGCAATCTTTTGTGCCCTGTTTTTGTGATGGTGCCTTCATTCGTTTCCAAGCCTCCATAGGAGGCACATCTAAGTCATTTTTTGCTACTCTGGTTTTAAAATTATAGGTTCTCTCATATCCCAACAAATTTTTTTTTCAACGGATGCAACCTGGAAAATCCTGCCTAAGTTTGTATTGGGTTGATGGAAGGATTTGGTACCTGAAATCTAAAACAATCTATCTCATTCTAACACAGGTCTGTCAAACTCCTGGCCCATGGGCCAGATACATCACGTGCTGGCCACACCCATGCTCGGTTTAGCGAAGGTGGGAAAAGTCCCGATATGTCACATGATGATGACATGAGTTTGACACCCATGTTCTAATACATTCTTAGTACTCTCACATTATGTATATAAAAATACATTTTTAATTGTGAGAGTTTTGCAAAGAAACCATTCTTCTGGAATAGAGGTAAACCTATATCCAGAAAGGAAGATGATTATTCACTGATATTTCAATGAGGGTTCTTCCATTTGACATATTCGTGCTCTTCTGAATCAATACCATCCTTATAAGATCCCATACCATTACATCTGTTCATTAGCAGAGCTGATCAATTTCTGGTTTAGCTGCACTGCATCACAAATTGTATTTTAGCAACACAGAATCAGAGAGCTTGCACACAAATTAGTCTTCCATTAGATAGGAAGTCATATGTCTCTTCCTTTCCTATTTTTTGTTCAGCCAGCTCTCTTCTCCCTGCCCAAAGAAGTTAAAGCATCATTACATATTGTTTTATTACCTGTTTAAGAAAAGAAGAGGGGATAGTGTCTTGATGGCTCTCCCATCAGATATTCAAATATTTTAGAAAATCATTATAAAATTATGAAATAAAGGCATTAATTAAACACTGGGGTTTGCATTCTCTGGTCAACTGAAGGGAGTGATAGTTGCTCATCAATTTAAAGCTGATGGCAAAATCCTCTGCAAACAACTTTTGAGAAATTTGAAAATGCAAACGGTGTGATGATATGGAACTGAAATGACTGGTGCACAGAGTAAGATTGGCATAACATACAATATGAACCATCTGTAAATAATTAGATTTATTGGAAAATATTTTTGTCATACAATAAGTTGATATTATGTTGAATTGATTACTTTTTACAAGGACATGCCACTGACTGTATTGTGTTAAGCTGATGGTAGCATATGTAGTCCTGTATTCTATCAAACTTAGAATTTATATTTTATACTTCTATAAGTTTAATAAAATCATTTTTTAAAGAAAATTGTGTGAACTTCAATTCATGAAATGATTCCTTGTTTTATCCTTCCTGCTTCCCCCTCTGTTACTACCAGCCCAAAAAGCCCTACATCAAAAATTGTGGAGCTGCAATGGAATGGAAAAATCAGCCTCAGTTGTGCAAGCAGAAATTAGAAGTTGCATAAGATTTGATCCTGGCTAAATATGAATGAAAATACAAAATTTCTTTAAAAGAGTTCCACATTACTTCCTCTGCAAGCAATTAAATATGTTGCATGTATTCTATTCCCCAAGAAGCCACTTTGACATGGACCAGATGATATGGGCTGGCAGGAGCTACAAAGTCCTAATCCTCAAGAACTGTGGAAACTGTGTTAATTTCACTGGCACAAGAGGCAGAGGTTGGTGGAGCACTCTTGTCATTGGTGATAGCCCTGCCACCCACAATTTCTTCTGTATTTCTGGCAGGCTTCAACAAAATAATATAACATTTGGGCACAAATATGCACCCTAGCAAACCAAAGCTGGAGGCCAGAATTGCAAATATCTCCACAGCTACCTTGAATTTCCCTCTTGTGCTTAAATAAGCAGGAACAAAAGATATCCAGACAATGAAGAAAACCAGCATTCCAAATGTAACAAACTTGGCTTCATTGAAGTTATTGGGAAGTTTCCGGGCCACAAAAGCTGTGAGAAAGCACTGGATGGCGAGAAACACATCAAACCCAAACATAATGCACAAGTACATTATTGAACCCTCATTGCATTCAAAAATAATTTTCAGGGTTGTAAACTGGGTGTTTTTATACATACTGGGAGGGCTAAAATAAAGGTAAGCAGTACAGATGCCCACTTCAGCTAGAACAGAGACAACAACCACCACTTTTTGGAAAATTGGTCCAACTGACATCCGGGCTTTCTCAGCCACTTTTGAATTTCTGGCCAAATGAGTTAGAAAGAGCATCACTGTCTTTCCTAAAACACAAGACAGGCAAACAGAAAAAGCCAAGGCCAAGGATACTTGACGAGATTGGCATGACCAATCTTCTGGCTTCCCCACGAAGAGAACAGAAGTCAACAAGGTTGCGATGAGAGAAAACTGGATGAGGAAGCTGAGCTCACGGTCGTTGGCTTTCACCAGAGGTGTTTTCCTGAACTTGATGTAGACTCCAGTCACAGATAGAATGACACATGCGCCAAATACAGAGAGGGCAATCAATGTCATTCCTAAAGCTTCTCCATAAGCCAAGAATTCCACTAGCTTATGCTCACATTTGCTTCTTCGGGTATTGGACCAATAATCTTCGGGACATGCTGTACATTCCCTTGCATCTGAAAAAGAAACCATAACAATGGTATTTGGAATAGTACTACAGGGTTAGTTTTATGCCAAAGCTTTAAAAGGTGAACTCAGTCATCAATATATAAAATATCTTTCCCCAAACCTTCTCCAATTGAGTTGGACTACTGCCCTGATTACTCCCTAACCATGTAGTTTTCTATAGCTGACACTTGTCAGAACACATGTGAAGGACACCAAATTGAAGAAAGACATTATGAAGAATAATTTAAAAGTGCTTTGAATAATTGCATAGCCCATTTCTATCATTACAGATACCTATGCATCAATGATTAAGTGGTCATTTTCCAGAAGACATCATTTCCAGACAGACCTGAGGGTCAGTATTACTGTTGTTTTAGAAATTAAACACAGTCCAGTTAGGCATAACCAGGGGTGGGATTCTACCAGTTCGCACCTATTTGCTAGAACCAGTTGTTAACATTCTAAGCAGTTTGGAGAACCGGTTTTTGGAAGAAATTACTGGCCTAATCCTGTAAGGAAGGCAGGAAGGAAACATTCTGGTGTTGCTTACAAAATCTGCCTCTCCGTTAACCCTTATTACATTCTTGGCAGGACTAGACTTCCTGCCTCAGGAACTTTTCTGGAGTTTCTTTCCCCTCCTTTGCTGGTACTTTGCTTGTGTGGAGTAACCATTTAAAGTTACAATGGCACTGAAAAAAGTGACTTATGACCATTTTTCACACTTACGACTGTTGCAGCATCCCCACACTCATGAGAAGCCAGTGCGAGGAGATGCGTGCCTCAATGTGAGTGATATTGAGTTGGCCACACCCAGCCAGTCACATGACCACCAAGCCACGTCCACCTAGTCACGTGATACCAAGCCACGCCCACCAACTAAGCCACGCCCACAGAACCAGTTGTTAAAATTTTTGAATCCCACCCCTGGGCATAACCATCACAAGTAGCCAGAATCTAGCATAAAGTATATCCACAATAACTCTGGATTTCTAATTAAAGCTGTTAAAAATTGAAGAGAGATTGGATAACCATTTGTCTGAAGTGGCATAGGGTTTTCTGCATGAGCAGGTTGTTGGAGTTGGACTAGGGGCTTCCAAAGACCCTTCCAACACTTTTATTTTGTTCTGTGTAATATCCTAGATTGCAGAATTGAAAATATAAAGGTTCCAGTTTGGTATACTTGGCTAAGACTGTGAAGATTCTTGTTCAAATTTCTATCCAGTCCTTCATGAGAAACCTTGCAATTAGTTTCCATTTCTCAGGCCAGCTTGGCCTAATTTACAAAATGTTGATAAAAAGAAAATTGAGATGGGGAACCACCATGAACTATCTAAAGGAAGGATGGATTTAAAAGGAGGGGGGAAAAATGAGAAAAATATAACAAATTTAAATGACAATGGCTTTTTAAGTTTCCCCGTGAAAGATATGTTTGAAAAGTTCATGTAAACTTTGCTGAACTCCCAGTTCCAAGGAAAAGAAATAATTCAGTAACACATAATGACAGAGATTGGATAACAGATAACAATACAATTGCAACTTTAATTATTTAGAGTAATTAATGCAAAGCATTTTGATGAATTAGGGAGCATGTTTTAACATATCAGGGGGCATATTTTAAAGTATTAATTTAAATAGTTTCAAATTTATTTTGCATTGTGTGTGACAAAATAAATCTGTTTCCCTAAAAATGATGCCTCCTACAGGCAATGTTCACATTATTCAAACATTATTCTTCTATATAACTTTCTTTCCCTATTCTTTTAGGATAGATTTTAGGACTATTTACTTCTGATTTAGTTAAAATAGAATTGAATTTAATAACAAAAAAGAAACCAGAAAAATAATAGCATTCTAGCAAAATTATATGTTGAGTAAGGGCAGAATTGTTTTTTAGCTAACATGTTTCTAGACCAGCAATGGTAGCCTAGGGCTAGATGGACAATTTTGTTTGACTGAGTCATAAAGTATATGATGCCATATCATCATGTGGTCAAGAATACGCTATAGGAAGGAGTTGGGTGTATGCCTACTTTAGGATTTAACTTAACATTTTAAGATTAAACTATCATAATCCTTAAATATTCAGTTCTGACTTTAATGAGAAGGAATTTCGACTAGTTTTGAAGTCAGAAGACCTGCTTCAAAGGTTGAAGCAGGTCTGACAAGATCAAAACAGGTTGAAATAGGATAGCCCAAGCTAGGATAGCCCATAACATTTTTCCTTGAAATATTTTGCAACTATCTAATATCTAGATTTTCTTGTGTTTTCTACTTCAAACTACTATAAAGCCACACTTCAGTTTTCATCAATTGCAATCAGATCCCCAAGAACATTTTTCCTGTTTCTACAGTGGGGTTACTTTCTATTAGTTCAAGTGATAGATGTTCATACCTGTATGGTTACTGAACTGTCCTTCTGCGCACCGTATACAATCATAACAGCATGAAGGTTTCCCTTGCAAGATTCCCTTACGATACCCAGGTTGGCAATTATTATTGCATGCCGAACGTGGTCTCTGAAAACATAGAAGAGGCGTTATATTTCTTATAAAATAAAGATGTGTTTGAACCTGAAATAAAGTTCAATTTTGGGCTAGAGAATTATGGCTCCATCTATATCTCAAGTAGGACCTCAAGAGACTCTCATCAATACTGTGATCTTCTGAGACAACATGACAGTAAACATGATGACACATCCATGACACACTAAGGCATTGTTGTCAATGGGAGGGAAGAAATAAGGATTCTATAGAATATGAGAGCCTCAGTGGCACACTGGTTAGAGTGCAGTACTGCAAGCTACTCCCACTGCAATTTGGCAGATTGAATCTCACCAGGCTCAAAGATTGACTCAGGTTTCCATCCTTCTGAGGTGGGTAAATGAGGATCCAAATTGTTGTGGGCAATATGCTGACTCTGTAAACTGCTTTAAAAGGGCTGTAAAGCACTATAAAGTCGTATATAAGTCTAAGTGCTATTGCTATAAGGCCTGAAATAATTATTTTCATTATCACCTTTTCAACTTGCTTTCTTGGGTAATAGTAATGAGTTTTCCATAACTGCATTATTTCTGCTTTGATGCTCACAAATCTCTGCCCTTTATATCTTTATTATCTTTGTGGGCATTAGTAACACTTGTGCATGGGAACTGAGCTTCTCTAGAATCCAAAGCAGGGTGAGTGACCATCAAATCCAGTTACCAAATGCATTGATCCAAGAAATGTCTATTTCTTTTTCCTTCAGAAATTAATATTTTTGTAGAACTTTTGTTTCTCAAGCATCTTTGTATTAATGAGCAATTACCTACCCAGTATAAAGTTTGCCCATGGTCATTGTGACATGAGATAATACGCATTTGAGATATGTATTGTCTATCACTGTGGCAAATATGTGATTTTGTCAGGCACATATATGAGTGCAAACTATCAACATTTCAGTTTTAATTATAAAGTTTTCAAATTTGAGTACTCCATAAAAACCACAAACATGCAGCACCAGTACACAGAACAATACCGTAAATGTAGAACTTTACAGTAGAACATTAAACTACTGGATATGAAAAACTATTCACTTACTGATCGTTCTGGGTTGTTCCAAAATATTGAATCATTAAATATATGAAATTCTATATTGTGTTCATCTGTCTGGTTAAAAGTTCCAACTTTTACAAAATTGATTGCTCCAGTTTCATTCATCTGCCAATTTAGGATGTCATATGGTGTATAGACATCCCCATTGGTATTAATGCTTACAAACTCATCCAAAACTGTAAAGTTCATCTCATGCTTCATATAGTACATTAACTGTGAACCAACAGGAAAAGATTACAATACAATACAATACAATACAATGCAATGCAATGCAATGCAATGCAATGCAATGCAATGCGATGCGATGCAATGCAATGCAATGCAATACAATACAGATAGCTGTAATGCTGCTAGATTTTTTTTAATGATGGTCCACAAATGTCAACTGGTATTCAACAGTCTATATATTTTGTACAAATAAGGTAGAGTAATTGGATTCAGCAATTGCAAAAGTTAATTTAAAGTGTTCAATTTAAAATGCTAACATAATATGTAGAAACCTGAAAGGAGACTGGTTATTCAACATATAAAGAAACATGTGAACTTTCCTTCCATAGAGATTAGAAGTTCTCTTTTCTGGGCTTCCACTTTATCTTTATCTTTGAAAGTTCAGTGCTTTCTGAAAGATGAGTTTTAACAATTGTTATTTATTTATTTTTTAAAAAAATATTTATTGAAAGCTAAATTTTAAAAACATTTGAACATAGTGATATTTTGACATATGTCAGCAGTCTTTACATTGTTATAATAGCAGAATATCATTAAACAACATAGCATTTATAAATGTATATATAGATCTATCTATATACATCTTTACATTGTAAATCTTTATATTTCTATCTTAGACATTTTCTTTCTTTAATTTCTATTTCACATTTTTTGACTTCCTTTCGTATCCCTCCAATTATAATTTTTTTCCCATATTTCATAGAATTCTGAAGTATCTCATTCCTTCAGTTCTAACATTAAGCTATCTAACTCTGTGCAGCATAGAATTTTTTAAATTATTACTTCGTTGTTAGGTATTTCTTTTGATTTCCATGTTTGGGTAATTAATAATCTTCAGTTATAATAATATAAATAATTAGATATAAATCTGCTCTTTTTTATTCTCATTTGTTATTCCTAGTAGGAATATTTCTGGTGTATAATTTATTTTTAAGTTTAACATTTCCTATAACCATTGCATTTTTTTTGCCAAAAATCTTGCATTTTCTTGCACTCCCACCACATATGGTACCCCATTCTTTCAAACATTTCCAGCATATCGGAGATTGGGAACTGTTCATTTTAGCTAATCTGTTGGGTGGGATATGCCATCAATAGAACATCTTAAACAGATTTTCTTTATAAGATGTTCTTTATAAGTGATCTTTTTATTCCTATCCCAGATTTGCTGCCATTGATCCAAATTTATGCTATAGCCGAAATGTCTAGCCCAGGTTAACATTGGTTCTTTCACCTGCTCCTCATGCATCTTATAGTCTAATAGATAGTTATATAATTTCTTTATTTGTTTCTTTTCTGATCCTAATAGTATTTTGTCTAATATTGTATCTTGGCAATTTATTCCCCATTCTTTTTTATCTCTTTTATATCTGGATTGTACTTGGAGATATGCCCACCATTCCAAACCCTGTTGAATAAGTTGAAGTCTTTGTTTTTGTCTTCCTTCATCTGTTAGGATATCTTTGTATGTAATTGCCTTTTTTTTTTGGTTATAGAGGTTTGGGTATGATATAGCTTCTAAAGGGGAAAGCCAACGTGGAGTTTCCATACAGTTTTGTGATCTTGTTTTATTCCAAATTGATATTAGAGCTTGTCAGATTTTATGTCTCACAAAATATTTATGTGTTGTATGCCTATTAGGCCACAGATATGTGTGCCAGCCCTGTTGTAGATCGTGCCCTTCTAAAAATAAAAGTCTTTTCCCCCCAAGTTTATCACAATTGTTATTTGTTTGTTGATTTGCTTGCTTGTTCAGTTTCTCCAGCCAATATGTGTACAAAACTCTGGGCTACTTACAAGGATTAAAACAATACATTATAAGCAAAAGTTTTAAACAATGTAGACACAGCCATGCCAGGGGGAAAAAACACAACCATTAATAAAGACTGAAACAAATTAAGTAGTCAGGTCATATTATTCCATTGCCCACCGCCTGAGGAAAGAGATTTTCATACATTTTTTTAAAAAGCAGCAGGGACAAGGGTAGTTAATCTCAAGAGGAATGTTATGTCAGAAGACAGTTGTCACACAAAAAAGACATGGCTCCTGGGTTTACAAAGATTATAATATTTAACAGATAGGACCCAAAGAGTGTCAAACTTACAAAATTTAAAGAACAGCTAATTCCCAGTGATTCAGGGCACTTTACTACATTCTGGATTACTTTCAGGGCACTTTACTACATTCTGGACTACTTTCCAAGCGGTCTTCAAAGTCAGACCCATGTAGAGAGAGAAAAGGATATATCCTATTTGACTATCCTAGAAGGATACTCTTTCAAGACTATCCTTAAAAAATGTTTTATTTGATTAAAAAAACAGTGGATAAATTGCTCGATAGTACTTATAGTGAGATCTGAACCAGCTGAGCAATTGTTTATATGCACACTTTAGGATGTTAAAACATTAAACAGCTTAAGACCTTACTATCTGAAGACCTCCTTTTCCATTGTGAACTGTCCAGTTGTTACGGTCTGCAGGAAAACCACTTAGAAGATCCTTCCACTGTGATTGAAAGGACTGAAATTTACATCACATTACAATTTCTAAGAAACTTTTATAAAACGACCTACAGTTGGTATATGACAGCAGAAAAAAATCATAGGATACTTTAAATTTATTTTGGAAGTGTGGAACATATGAAGGGTCATTTTATCATTCTTGGTGGACTTGTAATCATGCTAGAAAATTATGGGTTCAAATATAAGTACTAATATAAAGAACTTTAAAGGCTGATGTTCTACTGAAACTAGAGCTTTTCTTGCTAAAGGACAAACAACTAGAAAAGACTTATGGATAAGTCTTTTCGTACATGGTTAACATAGCAAGATTATTATATGCATACAAGAAGACTCTGAAATACCTACAATGGTTGATGAAGTTTACAGAATTTGCATAGATGACAAAACTGACTTGTGCCAATTTTGAAAGGATAGATCTACATTTGTCAGTGACTAAAATCCTTTATGGACTTTTTACTGAAAACAGCAAAGTGTACTTGGGATTTTTGTATTTGATTATTAGAAAAGGTGGATTTTGGAAAGAGGGGAAGTATGATAGAGAAAGGATTAGAGAAAGGATAAAATATGAATGTATTTTTAACTGCTATAAGGAAGATAGTTCTTTATAATATGTGTGTGTGTGTGTGTGTGTGTGTGTGTTTTCTTAAGTTTTCATGGGTATTTATATGATTGGTATTCAGCTCTGTTCGGGTATTTTCCCACGTCATTATATAAAAAGGCATACCTCTCAGACCCATATTCAGCTCCAGAGGAGCACCACTACAAAACCTAGCCAAATACCTAGCAAAGCACCTACAGCTCCATGCTGAAGCAGCAGTTTTACATGTACAAAACTCATACCACCTTGGAAATGATCAAAGATCTACATGTGGATCAAGAAGATCTGCTTGTAGGTTTCGATGTGGTTTCACTATTCACTCAAATCCCAATAAAAGAAACCCTAGAAATCATCAAAAATAAATACCAACCACCCAAACACCTCATGGAACTAGCAGAACACTGCTTAACCAACACATATTTCATATACAAAGGACAAAGATACAAGCAAATTGAAGGAGCCCCTATGGGATCACCACTGTCACCCGTTATTGCAAACCTGTTCATGGAAGAATTTGAATCCAGAGCCCAGCCAATGCCACCCACAAACCCAAACTATGGTTAAGATACATCGATGACACATTTGTTATTTGGCCCCATGGAAAAGAAAACCTAAACAATTTCCTAACACACCAAAAGAGCACACCCCAAAATCAAATTCACTATGGAAACGGAAACAAACAACTACCATTCCTAGATGTACTAATCTACAAAAAAAAAAAAAAAAGATGGCACACTAGGACACACCATATACCAGAAGAAAACACACACCAACCGCCACCTCAATGCCCAGTCCCAACACCACCCAGCACAGATAAACTCTGTGGCCAAAACACTAATTGCCAGAACCAAACACCTGGCAGATAAGACACACATAAAGACTGAACTATGCACCCTGACTAAAGTACTGACAGTCAACGGCTTCCACAAAAGCAAAATCACAGGCTTGATCCACAAAAACACACTGAGACATAATGGAGACCTAGAAGATAAACAGACCCATGGAACAGCTGTCCTGCCCTACATAAGAGGTACTACAGACAAAATCAGTAAGATACTACACAGCCATCACATCAAGACTGCCTTCAAAACAGACAGAAAAAGAGCAGCCATCCTAAGAAACCCCAAAGATAAAATTGACCTGGAAAACCAAGGCATATATGAAGTCCCCTGTGCATTATGCCCTGCCACATACATCAGACAGTCCATTAGAAGACCCGCCTGGATGAACACAAAAATGCAGTCAAAAAGCTGGAACACACTTCTTCACTAGTCCAACACATGAAAGCCACACATCATAGCATCAACTTCAATGGCACCCAAACCCTAGCCACTATAGAAAACCCCAGCTACAGAATTATCAGAGAAGCCATAGAGATTGAAAAAAGACCTGAAAGCATGAGTAGAAGAGATGACCCCACCAGACTGTCAATTATCTGGAAGCCTGCACTCACAAACAAAAAAAATCTCCAATCACAAGCCAAACAAACATCTGGGCACAAACAGACCACCCCTGATACCTCCAGCTCAAACACACCCCAACCAGGCATCCAGATGAAACCTAGCTTCCTAATAAATGATAGCCATCCGTTTACTTGAAGCCAAGCCTCACTAAAAGCCTCCAATACAGGAAAAACAATGTTGCCAGCCAATCAAGATAAAAAAATGCTACAAAACAGATAGACGATATTAGAAACACCAATCAAGCAGAATACAACAAACTCCAAGACCAATAAACACAGGCCAAGACTCCCAACCAATCAGGATGAAGAAAAAACCATTCTGGCACAGCAATAGGCTGCCCCAAATTTAAATCTGAAACCACTGTAAAAGTCTGACTCACAGATGAACACTATATAGAAGCCTGATGATGGCAGATGAGATTCTGTCGAAACGTTGCTACAACTTTAAAAGCACAACTACAATGACGTGGGAAAATACCCGAA